GGCAGAAGTCACATGATCACACCTAACAGGTTTTTAAAATGGGCACCTATTAATAGTATCAAACAATGTATATGACCTGTGAAAGCACTTAGGTAATGATCCAGTGTGATGTAAGTGGTGTTATGAATCTCAGGAAGGAAGCTTTAGCATTTCCTTCTCTATCAAATACATGTCTGTTTCTTGGGCTGAGTGAGGCACCATTTGAAAGAGGGCTTAGAGTTAAGATACAAACATATCTTCAGGCCCACGCTGTTACCATCACCAAACAAATAGGATTGGAAAGTATTTTGGGTTCCCGGTACTCACGGTTTTGTAGGCTGCTTAGCCACATTCAGGCAACAATTTCCAGAACAACCTCCGTATTAGAAACCCCACTAAAAAAGACTTTTGTCCTGAGCAGGGAGTACTGTCCTTGCTTTTGTTTTCTACCTTTTTTTTAAGTTAACATTAGAGACATCTTAGGCTAATTGGAAAGGGAATAACTACTGGCAAAATCAGGGCTCAAGATTCTGTTTACATTTTGTCAAACAAATACATCTGTTTGACCTGAAGTCTCCTTGGTTTATTACAGCAATTGCTTACTATAAGTAAGCAACAAGGTGTTTAAATTTTACGCATGTGAAATACATATTATGTTTCCTAGCAGGGGCCAAGACTCAGTCAATATTTTTTTTCTGTAGCATTGTTCTCAGACTCTGAGCTTTACTTAAGCAAAAGTTTACTTAACAAAAGGAAGCAAGTTCTTAACCTTGACACTAGAGCTGTGAGTTGAGCTTCATCAGTGAACAGGCTTATTGGTAGTTCCTTGTTTAAGGCCATTACCTCAATGTTTTTCTTGAGCTTTTACACATGCACCACTTGGCACAGTCACAGACTGATAAGCAAGGGAATATAGCACCCGGCAGTCCCCTGGAATTACAGGCTCCTGAAGCAAAGCTCTGTAATGGGTGACAGCTTGAGCTATGGAATCAACCAGCCAGATTTCAAAGCCAGAGTCCACTCTTTACTGGCTGGTCACCTTGGGCAATTCATTCAACCTCCTCAATCTCAAATTCCTTCTCTAAAAAATGAAGGCATAAAAATATCCACTTTATACATTTTTTTTGTTTTGTTTTTTGAGATGGAGTTTTGCTCTTGTTTCCCAGACTGGAGCGCAATGGCGTGATCTCAGCTCACTGCAACCTCTGCCTCCCGGGTTCAGGTGATTCTCCTGCCTCAGCCTCCTGAGTAACTGGGATTATAGGCGCCTACCACCATGCCCAGTTAATTTTTTGTATTTTTAGTAGAGACAGGTTTCATCATGTTGGCCAGGCTGGTCTTGAACTCCTGACCTCAGGTGATCCACTAGCGTCGGCCTCCCAAAGTGCTGGGATTACAGGCATGAGCCACTGTGCCCGGCCCACTTTATATATTTTAGGGCTTCAATGAGATAATCTAGTTAGTGTTAGCTATGATCACTATCATCATCATCATCATCATCACTGCCTCTTAGTCTCCCAAAATACCCAGTATAGTGCCTTGCTCTGTGATAAAGAGGGAGCAATTTCCATTTGTTATGGAACTCATTCCATCCACTGATGCATTTTAAATTTGGAATGAAATCTATCAGGATTACACATTCAAATTCTTAAAGCTTTTCCAATGTACTCAGTTCCCATTTCAGGGGTCAGGGGGAGAGTACCTTCTTAAAATTTTTCAAAATACTTCAACCCTAGAAAATAATCTATGTATATAATAGTTCTTTGCCAGGCATGGTGGTTCACACCTGCAATCCCAGCACTTTGGAAGTCCAAGGCAGGCAGATCACAAGGTCAGGAGATCAAGACCATCCTGGCCAACATGGTGAAACCCCATCTCTACTAAAATACAAAAAATTAGCCAGGAGTGGTGGCACGCACCTGTAGTCCCAACTACTCAGGAGGCTGAGTCAGGGGAATTGCTTGAACCCAGGAGGTGGAGGTTGCAGTGAGCCAGGATTGTGCCGCTCCACTCCAGCCTGGTGACAGAGCGAGACTCTGTCCAAAAAAAAAGTGACTTGACCTATGTTTAAGAAATAAAAATGTTTTTGGATATGCTTTCTTGAATTAAACTGAATTTTATTTTGTGTTTTATCACAAGGATACCATTATCTTCAGTAAATGTTTTCTTGGGAAACCCAGGCTGTGGTAAATTCCTCCAGAGAGCTGCTGGTTGGCAGGTGTTTTCCACATTACCTAACTGGAGAACTGTCAGTGCTCAGATCTCTCTGATGTGGGGTAAACGGTGGCTCTTACCCCAAGCAGCTCTATAGAACCACCCCAGGAGCCTTGAAAAGTACACAAGCCCAGCCCCACTGAGCCAGATTTTTGCTTTGGGATAGTCTGGGTGGGCCCCAGGTGTCAGAATTCTTAAAATCTTTTCAAGTGTTTCTAGAGAGAGTTATAGTCTAGTTCTCCCTGCTTAGCCTTCTATAATTCTATGTTTTCTACATGTTTATAGATTTCGGAGAGAATTAAAATTCTCTCCCCTTTGTAACTTCTCTTTAAAAGGGGCTTTTTTAAAACTTTGTAAAGTGATACAACATAATAGGAATTACTCAGTTTGTTCTTCTGAAGTATATAAGTACTTGGTTTTACAGAAGAATTGGCAGAATTGTTCAGTAGCTACCTCTGAGATACTGGCGTGGTAGTGACGGCTTTTTCATTTTACACAATCAAAGCAGCCACCTGTATTTTCCCTTTCCAAAGTACGTTAACACAATGAATCTTGACCAGATGATTTATCTCTTTGAAATTTACAAAGTGATGGCTTGAGTTCCATATATTGTAATAATAATAAATGATACAGAGAAGTAGTAAAAATAATAATACTAGTAATAATAATACCTTTGTTCATCGTTTCCTTGCACATCACATGTTCAAAACGAGTTGTGTTTGAGCCTGCTGAGATATGAAATTTAAAAGAAAGAGTATGTATCTTAATGCTTATATGTTAGACAGTTTCGGTTGAATAGTCAGATAATTCATCTGGTACCTGCTGCAGACTCTGTGCTGGTGCACCAGTCATTTCTCAAAATAACCCTAACCACATGTGGCAACTGAAAGAGGTGTATAAAAGGTCCCTAGGAGCCCCTAAGAGAACAGTGAAGACCCCATAAATAGAGGAAACAAGGAAAATAGCATGTAAAACCCTCTTCCCCATCATAGTTCTATCGTCAGTTTCCTACTTCACAGATAGGACTCTTTCATTCAATCTTGGAAGATCTACTAAGTTCTCTTTTTCAAAACATAAATGATCCACTTGGAAATGCTTTTACAATACATTTAGTGCATTTTGAATCAAGGAACTGTTTAATGTGCTTACCATGAGTAATTTCCTTTTACAAACATCATTTGAAACTCATCATTTCTAGAAAGCCTCACCTGGTTACGTGGAATATGATCCCATTGATCTCTGGCTGTATCTTTTGATGATATATTGGAAGCCGTATGCTTATAGGCATGTAATGACGTCCTATGTATGACAGCACACATCAGAATGTCCCTTCAATTTCTCCGACTTAAACACATAGGACCTTTGAACATGCTCTTCCACCTGCTTGGAATATATTTGCTTCTACCAGCAACTCCTTTATCTAGCTCTTTTCAGATAAAGAACTAGATAAAGCACTAGTTGCCCAGTTGTTTTTGTTCAGGGAAGCTTTCTCTGATCTTCAACTGTTCACTGATTCTATGTTTTTATAGCATCTCTCCAAAGTCTCACTTTTCCACTTTTTGAGTGACCATTTTGATTTTTCTCTGCCTGTCTCAGAGGCTGTAACTCTTTGACTCACACACTCAGGGTCTGTGTTGACTTTTGTTATCAGCATATTTCTAGCACTTAGTCCAGTGCTCGAATTCAATAGGTGACTAATTGTTGTGAATACTGCGCTTTCTCTTTGAAACACAGCTACAGTTCCACTTTGCTGAAGCATTTTAGCACTACTTAACTTTTTGAAACTAACGTTCCATGTAATACTTTAAAACGAAGATTAATGGTTAAGGAGAGTGATTAATTGTGTAAAACGACTTTTACTAAAAGTGTTTCTTATTAGATTAAATTTGAAACAAACTAAAACATAAGTTTTTAAAAGCTACTCACAAGTTCACCATATTTATATAGGAACAATTTTCATTTCATCAAAGGACACTGTCCTTAAGCTGAAGTGATGCTGGAACTTGGGTATTTAGTTCTGAATTTGTTTGTTTTTCTTCTCCTTCTTCGTGTTTCTTCTTCTTGTTTTTCTGTGATGATGGGCTGCTTCATAAACTCTGGCTGGAAATCTGAAGGTATCTAAAAAAACAGTGCCCTCTAGAGGCGAGAGTACTCTGAATCATTCACGCAAAATTACCTGAAGCTTGACTTCTTGTCTTGGTAAGCAGCACACTTAAACTATTCCTTCAGCCCCCAGGACCCCACTGTGCCAAATTCAGGAATAAAACCTGCCTAATGTAAGACTTTTTCAGTCTGTAGGATCTTACTCGAAATCATAGGAATTATTGTCTCACAAGACTTTTTAATGTCTGTGAGAGTGTGAGCATTGCTTTAGCAAGAGATGCCTTAACCCTTAAAACCACCTCAGTCAGTATTGTGACTCAGTGCCTCTTAACTAGAAGAGTGTTAAATATGCAGATTTGAAAATATTGCGTTAATAAATAGCGAGCAATTAAAGTTTCCCCTTATTAATGTTGCATGGTCTTTCCAGTAATTTTAAATCAGCTGATCAGTACTAGCCTTAAACCAAAAAGAAAATAAAGTTTGAAGGAATCCATTTCACATGTCAGGAGATGAGCTGATTCCTTAATGGAGAGTCCTGGTGGAGATTCTGGAGTCAGTTCCTCAGTGGTGTCTGGTTGAACCAAGCACCAGTCAACAAAGGATCAAAAGTGGGATGTGGCATATGTTTTAGTATCATTTCATGCCTTGTAATTGCAAGCTTTACAGTCATGCATGTTTTATTCTCTCTTTGTTGTATTTTCCAGAGGGATAACCAATTGGCTGACAGAGTAACAAATGAAAAGTAACCTGACTCTATTGACCTGCTTAACCCCGCACGGGGGGAAGGATGGAAAGGAGCAACTGTTTGCTTTAAAACAGTGGAACAGGTATGGAACAGCCGCTTTTGTTGTTGCCCTCTTTTATTTCCTTGCACATCTACTTCCAGACCAGTTGAAAACAGCAAGTTGTTCCTGTTTGCGGACACAGAATCAGGGCTCGGGGTTCCAGGAACAGGTACCGGGGATTACTAACAACATTCTAAGTTGCCCCATCTTCAGGTTGCCGTTTATATAAGGACCAGTGCAATGAAAATACCATTGTTTTCTCTTCTCTCTCTCTCTCTCTCTCTCTTTCTTTCTTTCCTTCTTTCTTTCTCTTTCTCTTTCCTCCCTTCTTTTTTTTTTTTTGAGACAGAGTCTCACTCTGTGGCTCAGGCTGGAGTACAGTGGCGTGATCTCAGATCACCACAACATCCGCCTCCCTGGTTCAAGCGATTCTCCTGCTTCAGCCTCTTGAGTAGCTGGGATTACACGCACCCACTACCACGGCTAATTTTTGTATTTTTAGTAGAGACAGGGTTTCACCATGTTGGCCAGCCTGGTCTCGAACTCCTGACCTTGGCTTCCCAAAGTGCTGGAATTACAGGTGTGAGCCACCATGTTCAGCTGAGACCATTGTTTTCAAATAGCAAATAACCAATCATGCTAGGGAGAATTATTACTTTTAAATATAGGATTTCTATTTTGGATGTGCATTTAGCTTTAAGATACATTATTTGGGCTTATGGGAATTTTGTTTCATTAAATGAATTTCTATGGAGGAATCATAGAAGTAATGACAAAATGGTAAAGCATGTTGATTTTCCCAGTGAATGCCATAGAAAGTGTGTTTGCTGTGTTTAATGATCTAATCTCCTCTGCCCACATTCATTTTCTCAGTTGTGAAAGGACTCTGCCAAGAAAGGCATTGACTTTTTCAATTTTTTCAAAATGCACATAATAGATATAGGTGAAGTTTCTTTTGTTTTGAAAGGAAGACTTCATTTCAACATGAAAAATTTAGATCAGCACTCTTAAGACTACTGGAATTAGAACCTTTAAAATTTCTGTTCATTTTGAGTCAGTGCTTATTGTCACTGGGGGGCTGTACCTTCTTTCAGTTACATCCATTATCAAGAGGCACGTGATACCTGGTTTGGTAGTCACTCTATAGAGGTCAATGCTTTTTGTAATATTAATGGCTTTGTCGTGCAGCTAGAAAGTAATTTTAAGTTCAGAAGATTAATATCATGTATTGGATGTTTAAAATTAAATCACTTAATGACTTTGCTCAACAAGATTTTTCTCCCCATTGGATGCTTGATAAATGAGAAACTATAAATAAATAATAAAGACTTGAAATTTGCATAGAAATATTATAATTCAAAAGGTTACAGGAAGAAAGGGAGTTTTAAGAGTTGCACTTTAGATAAGGAATTTAAAAAAGGTTATGGCTCCACTATTTAAGGTTACTTAAGGAAGAGTTTTTTATGTTATTATGTTCTCAGGACATAACATCTTTACACCATTAAGGGTTTCAATGTATTACTCTATTGAATCTGAAACTAAATATCAGAGAAATCAATAATATATGAAGAATCTGGTTTCTAGCTTAACAGGAAGGCAGAAAAAGTAGTGTGTTGTTGCTGCTCGAGGCACAAAGCAACCTTATGGTCTTTTGGTTCCTTCATGTTTCAGTCTATAGAGTCAGCCAACTACTACCCACATTGATCAACTATCTTTTGCTTGCATCTTAGCATAATGCAAACGGACTTTTTAAAAAAAGTTTCTTCATTAAAAGATGTTGTCTGTCTAAAAGGGAATCTTTGAGAATAGGGCAAAAGAAGATGAAACACAATAAACTGTCTATACCACCCATTCTGAATATTGATCAATCCATATCATAAAACAAGTTGGCTACTGGATTTTGTTTAGCAGGAATAGATTATAATGTGATTCAATTTCTAAATGAAGTGATGATTGGAAAAAAAACATCATTAACCAAAGGATTAGCTAGCTACCGTGTCAAAGGATTAGCTAGCTACCGTGTCTTCTTGGATGTGAGTTTCTACATATGAAACTCTTTGAAAAATGGAATCTGTCCTTTTTTTTCCCCACTGGAAAAGGAAGGGTAAAGAAGCAAAGGTCTAGGGAAGGGAAGGATGGGCTTCAGGCTGTTTCCAGGACTGTTCTCTGGAAGGAGCTGGGAGCAGTCCCCACCTGGACCCATCTTCCCTTTTCTACACCTGGGATAATTTTAAAGGAGGCAGCTTTGGAGAAAAATGTCCACAAAAGGCGCCAGAGGGCTTTGCAGCCTCCCCGGGGCTGCTTTCCTCACCCTGGAAAGGATACTGGACCAGATCCAGGCACCCTCACCTCCAGAAACCCTACAGTCTTCCTCTGTGAAAATCATGAATGCTGACGTTAGGCTGCTTTGCTCATGGACATTGGTGTACCCAGTAAAAGTGCTGCCCAATGCCAAACCTAACATGCTGTCACCACCCAGTCAGCAAGGAAATAAGAACCAGGAGTTTTATGGAATGGAGAGGGGAGAGTGTTTCTTCATCGATGGTAGGAGCAAGCTTAACAAAGACTAGAAACACTCAGGGCTATGGCTCTTGTGGTTCCCATAGCCCTGAGCCACAGGGCTTCCTGGAGGTGCCAAAGGAGATTTTGACTCAGAGGCCAGGAATGTTCTTTCCTGTGTGGCTTACAAACTGGCCTCCCTGCAGAAGTTCTGAAATTTTTGCATAACCCACACGTTCCTCTACTTCCAGCTAACTCTACTTTCCTAACTAACTCCTTCAGGAGCTCCTCTTAGTCCATGTGCAGGCTCAGTGGCTGTGCAGAGGGAAAACACTTGCCACCGTAGCCCTTAGCTCCCACTGCGCCCTCCTGTAGCCCCTCAACTTGGACAGAGACACAGGGCCCCTCACGACCTACAACTGGGCACTAGTGCAAGGCTGCTACAATTCAGCATCACCACTATTCAGAGTTCCTGTGGGGATCAGATGAGATACTGGTTGGGGGAAATCACTTGTAAAGCATCTTACAAATGTCAAGTGTTACTTCACATGACACTCTAGTAAGAACACGGGCTTTAGAACCAGATAGCTCTAAATTCAAAACTCACCTGTGTGAACCTGGGCAAGTTGCTTTACTTCTGGGAGACTCACTTCCCTGATTTATAAAATGAGGTTGCAAAGCAGAGAGGTATATGCCTATTGCCCCTCAGGGGCTACCAGCCACTTGTCTTCCAAGAGACTTCCTATGACAGCATTGATCACCATATCATGAACTTACCGTGGTCAAAACAGTAAAAGTCTGTCCCGTTCTCAGCCTTGGAAGCTCAACCAGCTGAGTTGGCGGCAGCCAGAGAGCAGGGCCTTGCTGAAGGCCACACTCCCTGCAGCCACGTTCTCTGGATGGGCACAAACTCTGGATGTCTGTTAATTTAAGAAGGGAAACAGCTATCCTTGGAACCAGACCACTTGTGTCAACATGACCAATTCATGTCCTCCTTGTGGGTGGATCTTGACAAATCATGATCAGATGCCAATTTATTCATTTACCAAGAGACAGAATTGTCTCTGAGACCAGGGGGAAGAACTGAATCCATGTGACCAGTGCCTTCTCTTCCTTGAGAAGGCTTATATAGAATGCCAGATAACAACCAGAAGGAGGCTTGTGAGCATGGAGTTAGATGAGTCCAATGTTTAACAACAAAGGCTGAAATCCCCGGATGAGGTTCTCTCAAGAGCAACCGCCTGGCCAACGGGGCCTGAGTCCTTTCCCTCCTTCCTTGCAATAGCGCTTGGATGGACCAGCCAGCATTGCCCTCCGCATTTGTTTTTCTCTGCTTGCCCATGTCTGCTCATCCTCCTGAATAACTGACACAAGAAGAACCTGACACTGTCAGTTACGATTATGCAGTTAATCAGGTTTAATCAGGTTCTATCAGGTCTTGCAGGCCCAGGAGCAATTTATCTCTTTAAGATGATTTTATGATAAGACAGCTTTTTCCTGATCCAGCATGCACCAATCTCCCATTTTAACTGTCAGAAAACCATTTTATTTATCTTACTCCTAAGCTTTTGGGGGTCTCTGTTGCCCTCAAGAACTGATAACAGGATTAAATGCTACCACATATGAAAGTTGTCTTTCTGGCACATAGGAGGGGCTCAGTAAAGTCTAATTCCCTGTTCTCCTTCCCTTTCATGCAATAAAACAGCTCTTAAGACTTTTTATTACAAAGATTAATAGAAAATAGGATTCTAGCCCCTAAGGAGCTCAGAGTGTGAAGAGACATGTGAGTGAATAATGTTTTGTTGAGCATAACAACCCTGTTGTTCCCAGGCCCACTGGCTATGGAAACAAATGTGGCTTTCCTGGAATTCATGTAATTCATTCTGCTGTGCTGCTAGACCTCACCTGTACAAATACAGGCCCCCATCTCCCTCAAAATCCTCCCAGAGACGTACCAGTATGCAGGTAGAGTTGCAGAGAGGAGCTTTAGTGTCTACCTTTGATCCCCATTATCTCCATTAATATTAGTCCACATCATCCCCATTCTAAATTTGAATAAATGATGTTTTCTTTATCCCAGTTAAAGTATACACAAAGCAACCTAAAGGCAACCCCCACTCAGCTGCCCACCCTCACTCTTCCTGCCCCTTGCTGGTACTGAGTCTTTCCTACATTGTGATTCTGGAGCTTCCAAACACCCCAGATATTTCTGAATATCCCTAGGGGGTAATTGCAAATGTTTTCTGAAATCACTCTGAGCCTTCTGCGACCAGCCCTTCTCCTATCAGGCCTGGAGCTAGGGGAAGGGGTAGGCAGCAGTGTTCCCTGACTGTTCTGCCACTTTGTCGCTACTTTCTTTGTAGAAAAATGTTGGCCCAGCCTGGCCTGGGTGCTGTCTGTCCCTATGATACAGTTTCAAAGTTGGAAATCTTTGTTCCTTTTAATTTTTACAGACGGTTCATGCAAACATCTCTTCAGTCTCTAAGTTCTCCCCCAGGAGAGCTCAAAAACATGATACTGGGCAGGGCAGGAGACCAGTGGGCAACATCTGGTCTAGACTCCCCTCTTCTTCTCTCTCAGCTACATCCCAATCACAATTTCCTCCCTCCTCTTTCAGCCCCCAAACCCAGAAGTCCTCTTTCATGTTGATTTATGCAAATAGCTGACCAAGAAAGTCACTGGCCACCAAGGTCGTGAGGTCCAAGGTTAGAATAGATAAAAGGGCTATAATAGAAAAATATGAACCAAGTTCTATAGTAGCAAGTGGTAGTATTGCTTTCAGTTCAGACTTCACCTTTTCCGTGAGGCTGTCCCTACCAATCCCACTCAAGTTAAGCACTTACTCTTGAATCACCCAGAGGACATTTGCCAAATACCTAATACGTGCCAGGCACAAAGTGAGGCTTCTGATGGCACGATTCCCAAGCACAAACCTCTCCTCTAGGAGATCCTCCTCTGTTTGATCTCTATACTTGGTACTTCTCTGATTCCAAACACTAGTTTCATTATTGGCTTACACATTTGAATCCCATATTAGTCTGCAACCTCTCTGAAGACCTAGCCCGCACTTTAGGCTTTTGAATAACTACAGTTGTCTGAATAACAACATTTTGGTCAATGTCAGACTATATATACAATGGTGGTCCCGGAAGTTATAAAGGAGTTGAAAAATTACTATTGCCTAGTGACACTGTAGCTATCATAATGTAGTGTGACACATGACTCATGTCTGTGGCAATGCTGGTGTAAAGAAACCTACTGCATTGCTCATTATATAAAAGTGTACAACGATGTCCTAGGCCTTCACATTCACTCACCCTTACTCACTGACTCCCAACCCAAACAACTTCCAGTCCTTCGAGATCCATTTGTGCCAAGTGTCATACGCAAGTGTTTTTTACCTTTTTAAAAAAATCTTTTATACTACATTTTCACTGTACCTTTTCTGTGTTTAGATGTGTTTATACAAACAAATACTTACCATGGCATTAAAAAGTTGCCTGCAATATTCAATACCGTAACACACTGTACAGGTTTGTAGTCTAGGAGCAGTAGGCTAGACCATATAGCCTTGGCGTATAGTAGGCTCTACTATCTAGCTTTGTGTAAATACACTCTGTGATGTTCACACAGCGACAAAATCCCCTAAGGATGCATTTCTCAGAACATATCCTCATCGTTAAGTAGTGCATGACTGTAATTGAATTGTTGGCTGTGGCTGTTATCAGAATTCGTGTAGTAGATTATCTTCAGTAAACTGTGTATCTCTTTCCTGGATTAGTGACAGCAAGATCCAAGTAGGAAGCAAACAAAGTGAGTCATAGGGCAGGATGCTCACAAGCACGAAAACTGTGCTTCTCTGTGCCTTGTTAAAATTGATTTTACGACTCTCCATTGATTTATGAGAATCATGACATCTATCTTATTTCATGACATAAATAATGAAAAGGAAATACATTTTTCCCTCAAATTGAAACTATCAAAATGGGTTCTTTTGGATGTTGCATATAGAGAAAAATCGATAAAGCAGACATAACTCTTATCTGTATTAGAAATGTCAACACAATACATTTGAATCTACTGGGTTTGAATATCTTAGTTTATCACTATTACTTCCCCAACATAGTCCTTCCCAAGTACCCATAAGCTACATTCAACTTAAAGACAGAATAGATGCAGTGATTTAAGAAACATCCGCAATGGTTAGTCTGGCTTGGCGATGCTCGGGGAGCTGCCACTGGTGTTTAATTGAGAGAGTATAATGGCACCTAGGAGTCCTGGTTGACAGTGATCAAGACCTAGCTGAAACACGCAAGAGAAAATATGTGTGTACATTTGTACATGGAGAGGAATTTTTATTGGCTCAATCCAAGGAAGGGCTGACAGGCAAACTGTGGTAGGGTAAGAGTTGCAGGTGGACCCAAGGACAACTGGAACCAGGAACTGAACCCCACTGAGGCTTTCACTTTCTCAATTCAAGCCAGCCAACAATACCCAAATGTTACATTGTATAGGTTTCACCATCTGAGAGACTGTTCTACATTTTTAAAATCCTAGGGAAGGATTCTAATTGGTCTGGCTTGGATCAGGTACTTCCTCCTGGTCGACTGACATCAGGTAAGACTGAGGTGGGTCTCAGGAAAAGCACAAGTTGCAGTGGGGACCTATCTACTCCCCACAAAAAGGAGAGCTAAACAGGTAACAGGAAAATTATCTACTACTACAATGATCTCAGGCCAGAACACCCCAAAAGGCATTTGTTAAGTTGGCCTAGATGGCCTCTAACTCTACATTCTGTAGTCTTAGGATTGGAATTATTATGTTGACTCATTTATTTGACAAATAAAAATTGTGTATATTTATGGTGTACAGGTTGATGTTTTGACTTATATGTACATACATTGTGGAATGGCTAAGGTAAGCTAATTAGCGTACACATTAGCTCTTTTCTCATTTTGTTGTGTGGTGAGAACACTCAAAAGCTACTCTTGTAGCAATTTTCACATACATATGTAATATATTGTTATTGGCTATTGTCACCAAGTTGTACAACAGATTACATGAACGTATTCCTCCTATTTAACCAAAATTTAGTATAATTTGAACAACACCCCTCAGCCACTGTTTGTTCCATATCCACCACTTCCATTGCTGGCTAAATTTGGAAAATATGTGAAAAAGAAGTTAAGCAAATTCCAGAAAAAACCAAAACATCAAAAAACTCTACATTTGCCTGGCCTGTGAGGATTAATTCTCAACAATTCTGAATTCGCTGGGTGTTTAGATGACATTTTGCTTCTATTTAGCCATGTGGACAAAGCCCTGCTCCATTTGCATGGCTGCCTGTATTCTTTAACACCCTGCTTCAGAGCTCTGCTTTTGGCTCTCCTAACCTTTTTCTTCCCTCCTTTTGCAGTCGGTACACAAATATTCTTCAGATTGTCATTTTACAAAAGGTCAAAAATGAGCTGTCTGCCCCTTTGGAGAGTGGGAAGTAGTGTGCATAACCTTCATGGCTATTTTCTCCCCTTTAGTTTTGCAGCCTTAGAAAATGGCATGTAACATACCTAACCAAAGACAGCGGACTCTGTCAACAACAGGAGAAGCTCTATATGAAATTCTCGGTCTGCATAAGGGAGCATCAAATGAAGAAATTAAGAAAACCTACAGGTACAGAGTTCAATGGTGATATTTCTTGTGCTACTAGTGACAGTTATTTTGTGATTGGCAGGTGCCTCCGTTAACGACACAAGCTTCTTGCCAAGACCAGGTAATCCAAATTTTAGATCCAATGTTCCCTGCTCTACAACATAGGAGTTAGGAATAGACAGTCATGACCTTGATTTTATGAAAGAATTTACTGATGATGCTGGGCCTTAGGAAAGACTTGGAGAGAGGGGGAGAGAGAGAGAGAGAGAGAGAGGGAGAGAGAGAGAGAGAGAGAGAGAGAGAGAGAGAGAGAGAGGAGAGAGAGATAAGTGAACCAACCACAATCAATCGCTGGCTTTTTTTGTTTTCTGGGACAGAGTCTCACTTTGTTGCCCAGGCCGGAGCACAATGGCACAATCTCGGCTCACTGCAACCTGCACTTCCCAGGTTCAAGTGGCTCTCCTGCCTCAGCCTCTCGAGTAGCTGGGATTACAGATGTGTTACCACCACGCCTGGCTAATTTTTGTATTTGTTTTAGTAGAGATGGGGTTTCACCATTTTGGCCAGGCTGGTCTCGAACTCCTGACCTCATGTGGTCCACCTGCCTCGGCCTCCCAAAGTGCTGGGATTATGGGGATGAGCCACTGCACCCAGCCAATTGCTGTCATTTAACCCATCTAATATAGCATCACTGAATCAGGTAGAGAAATTCTTTTTTAATAAAAGGAGTTTGGTGAAATGCTGTATTTGTAAGCTATAGTTCTCAAGCCCTTAATTTTGATCTTTTATATTTGATCTTTTTCCAAGTTAGTTATTTTTGGAAAACTTTGAAATGTCTTTTTAAGTATCCAAGGAATAAAAATATATTAAGGGAGAAATGCTACCACTATAACCCAAACATCTGAGGGAAGATGTTTGAAAATTAAAGTCAAAGGGACAAATCCCCAACTCAAACCACAAAAAAATCATCTCTAGACCAAAGTCTAGAAAGGCCTATCAGTGATGAAAGAAGCACTGGTTCCCGGCTTCCTGCTACATGAGACTTTCTGCCCTGGTACTGTAGTATGTCAGTCCTCCAAGGATGCCATGATGAGTTTAATGAATTTCTCAAAACTCTGATATTTGTCACACCAAGAAAGCATGTAGCCTGTCTGATACTTGTCTTGACAATATTTTGGTACCGTTTAGGACATTTTGAGGTATTTAACTGTCTGTTGGATAGTTGGAGGAAGAAAGATGTGTAGACCGTAACCACCTTCTGGACAGGGAAGCTGCTTTCAGAGAGAGAAAATCTTTCCAAGACAGTGTTTGTTTGTTTGTAAGTTTAGAGACAGGGCCTCACTCTCTCACCCAGGCTGAAGTGCAGTGGTGTGATCATAGCTCACCACAGCCTCGAACTCCTGGGCTCAAACAATCCTCCTGCCTCAGGCTTCTGAGTAGCTAGGACTTCAGGCTAGCTACTCAGGCTATCAGGACCACCATGCTTAGCTAATTTTTTTAAATTACTTTTTTAAAGAGATGGGTTCTTGCTTTGTTGTGCAGGCTGGTCTTGAACTCCTGGCTTTAAGCAGTACTCCCTCCTTCGTCTCCCAAAGTCCCAGGAGTGCTTTGACAGTTTCACATTGAAGCCTACAGTTGCTAAGACTCAGGTTATTTCTTACACATAGTTTTAAGTGGATGAAACAACCAGAAACTTTTGACTTGTGATACTCTACCATGAAGGACGTGGTGATAACAGAAATAGTGGAATGATTTGTGCTTGTAAACATTTAAGAAAAACTTGTGGGTTTTGGTGACTGATGATTAAACTGTTTTCCAACTTGCAAGAAAAGAAATGTTGAGTACAAAATTCCTTTTCTTATTGTAGAAAATTTGCAAATTACTATAAGTGAAGGCAATTATTTATCCATAATCCTACCTACCTCTGGTGATAATTATCATTGATATTTTGTTTCCGTCTAGTCTTTTTTTTCCTATCCAGAAAAGACATTTAAAAATCAGGTTGTATTCATCTATATTCTTGAACTACCTCTTTTTTTAACAAAGTCTTATGAAAATATCTTGATGTTATTAAATAGTCTGATTTTTAATGGCTGTGGTCTACGGTTATTTGGTAATTTATTTAATCACATTGTAAGCTATTATTAAACATGTAAATTCTTTTAATTATTCCTTATACTTAATATCCTATACATATATTTTAATGCATATTTTCAATTACTTATTTTTTATGAAGTATAAAGCTATGCCTTTATATGGTAAAAGGATCAACATATAAATAAAAGTTTCAAATTTTAATCAGTTACTTCTTGATTTAGTCTTGAATTAAGTTTTTTAAACCTATCTGTTTTTTCTTACTGTACCGAAGTTTAAAATTAGGCAAATTTGTTAGTCATTTCTTTTAAGATTTTTGCTTTACCTATTATGGTTTAAAGGTAACTCAGCCTTGTTACAATTACAACACTATAAAAATATTCACCTTGTCTGCTTCTAGCACATTTATGATTTTGCTTTGACACTAAATCTTTGATCCAATTGGAGTTTATTTTGGCATAAGGGATGAGGTAGAAACCCAGATCTAATATTTTTCCAAATCCTTAGCCAACTAATACTTATTGAGTCTCTATTTTTATCTATTAACGGGAAATTCTTTGGCTTTGGATTGAAACCTTCATCATGTGTTATAGGGACCGAAATGCCTTTAAGAAGCATGTTTTGAAGGAAAAATGACAATGGTGCAACTTGGAACCAAATAGCTACATGGAAATGGCAGAGTCTGATCAAAGTCAAAATCAATTTTCTAGTTTATATTTTCCTTAGATGCTACCTAGAGAAAAGTCTTTGCTGTTTCATTTTGCCCTAGACCTCTCCAGAGGAGTGGGCCTGGGAGCTGCTCACCCCTGTTGTTGGACACTCCTGTTGGTGGACGTCCTTGACTGAAGATCTCTGAACTTGACTATTAAGGCTTCAGGCTGGGACACTGTGCTGGGGGAGGGGAGGTGGGCGGGAATGCCCTAATTGCATCGCCAGTTAATTGATTTTTGTAATATCTACAAAAATGTCCCCCAAAATAAGGAGGGAAAAAAAGTGACATCAAACTTCCTTGTAATTTTTAAAATCCACTTTACAAATGTGACTTTTAATTGCCTTTATTAATTTTGTAAGCTAAAATTTCAGGTCATATGTTAATTAAGGCATTAATTATGCTTAGTTGTTTGCAAGTTTAATAATTACAACATAAAGTCTATTCATGTAATTAGCGTCTTGGTATTAATTTTGTTTTAATGTCATACAAATATTATTTTTTCAGGTGATTAGGGTACTAGTATGCTGCCAAAAGCATCTACTTCTACTAAATTACACATTTGTATTCTGCAGTTATTCAAAATGTATGAGCAAACTGGAAATCTACTGAGAATATTATTCTTATATTCTGGGATCTGGATCAAAGCAGTCATAATATAGTGAAATTAAAAGTCAGTGAAATTTAATAAAATTACCAACTGTTGAATCCATACACTACTTGGCCAATGTTACAATCTTTGGCTGTGCTTGAAAACAAGGCTGAGTTAGAAGACTTCTTTCTTCTTTTGCATTTCATGTTTCATACAATAATATATTCATCTGATTAAAATGAAAACAGGTATATAACAAAGCCTTTCTCTTACCTCATATCCCCCAAGTCACTTCCCCAGGGGAAACAATATTATCAATTCTTTGTGTACCCTTCTAAAGAGGTTTTACGCCTACATAAGCACATATAGGCCGGGCACAGTGGCTCATGTCTGCAATCCCAGCACTTTGGGAGGCCGAGGAGGGTGGATCACTTGAGGTCAGGAGTTCAAGACCAGCCTGGTCAACATGGCAAAACCCCATCTCTACTAAAAATATAAAAATTAGCTGGGCGTGGTGGCACATGCCTGTAATACCTGCTGCTCGGGAGGGTGAGGCACAAGAATTGCTTGAACCTGGGAGGCAGAGGTTACAGTGAGCTGAGAGCCAAGATCATGCTGCTGCACTCCAGCCTGGGTGACAGAGTAAGATTGCGTCTCAAAATAAATAAATAAACAAGTATGTATACAGGACTTCCAGTCTAAGCAAGATGGTGTAGACTTTTCTATTCCTGCTGAGCACAAATAAAAACCTTGGAAATAACACAAGAGACAATCAAAAGAGAACTCTGAAAGGTAGAAAGAGGAAGGTTAGTTTGTCCGAAATCGCAGGTCACAGCATCAGGGCATCTTATAATCCCTTCCACCCCAACCCAGCAAAAGATAACCCAGGCCCAGCTTTTCCCAATACCCGGTCTAGCAAGAGAAGGCATCCAGGTAGCCTTATTCTTCCACCAAATTGAACAGAAGTCCCGCCAACAATGCTAGACAAGCCCCACGAAACAGCAAGGGTGCCAACGGAAAGCCTCCCATCTGCATCTTGCCAGGAAAGTGCTGTCTTTTCCCACCGCCAGCCTGGGACTCCTCTCTCTCACCTAGAGACCCCACTTGACAGAGGACAATTAGTAAGGGGGATTCCACCACAACAAACACCCAGCCCAGGAAATGCTTTTGTCCTCGCAAGCTGGAGACTCCCTTCCTTCATCTAAAGGCACCTGGCTCCTCAGCTACTACCAACAAGGAGTGTGGAGAGCCTCAGAAGCAAGAGACAAACCAAACCAACCAAAGAAGCACTGTAAAGACTCTGAAAGGTAGATTGTTACTGGAACCACTCACAAAAGTAGGCTAGGACCTGCTTGCTAACCCTAAAAAAGGGAACTGCTTGCTAAAATAAAACAATTTAAATAGAACCCAGAATCTCCCAACATGATAGTCAAAATACCCAGATACAATCAAAATCACCCATCCTACAAAGATGCAAGAAGATCACAACTTGAATTAGAAAAGACAATCAGCTAACTCCCATGCTGAGATGAACCAGATGCTGGAGCTGCCTGCAAAGCATTTTAAAGCAACCGTCAGAAAAAAATTAACAAGTAATGACAAATTCTCTTGAAGCAAAAAAAAAAA